TGTCTGCACTATATGACAGAATCTTGAAATATTGCAAGGTATAAAATCATTGAAAGCAATTGTGATAGTGTGGGAGAAGAGTGGGATATAAAGGGAGGTGAGAGAGATGTAATCAGTGGGGAAAAGAAAGAAGCAAAACATTTTAGGGACAGAAAAATGAAAAACTGTTTGTTAATGATAATGTGTCTAGTAATATCTTTGGCTGAACCAGTGTGTAATGTGTTCATGATGGGAGGGTTTATTTAGTGTGCTTTCATGATACACAGTAATTGAAGGTAAAAAATGAATAAATAAAAAAAATTCTTCTGTCATTTAAAAAATGAAGAAATTAATGTTATCCTCAAAATGCTAAATGTGGGACCAGCAGTTAGCGTAATGGTTATGTTGCTGGACTCCCACATAGTCGACAGCTGTTCGAGTCCCGGACCCGGTGGCTTAAACTCACACTGGGCACGTGTGCGTGCATGCCCAAGATTCCGAGAGAAGAAGGGATTGCAGCGTGGCCATCCCTTCCTGGGGGGTGATTTCTCACTTTCTGTCTCTTTTTCTCTCTCTGTCTGGCGAGCGCATGTGCCCTATAGCAAAAACCTCTCCAGAAAAAAAAAAATTAAAAATGCTAAATGTATCACAGATTATCTGGAAGTAGAGCTAACTCTACTTTCAAAATGTATAGTTTCTAGGAGAATTGCTTTTTTCTCAAACTTTTAAATTCAACTTTTATTAATCAATTTTCTCAACAGGACTGATTGCAAATCCTTTTAGTCACTCTCAACCCGTTTTCTGACTTGCACAACCCCATTTTTGCTATTAGGATTATATCGGCAGAATTGTTTAAAAACTTACAAATCTACAATTAACATGCAGACATTTTCAAGCTATTGCTCAACTTTGACTTCTGAGTCTACTTTGAATTTTTAATTTTTAATTATTATTATTAATATTTATACATTCAATTACTATGCATCACTTAGATTGCAAAGAGACCTTACCCAGCATGATATACACCTCAATCCAGCACAGCTGAGACTATTATACATGCTATCATCAGCAACCTACTTTGAGTTAAATGATGTTACTTTTTAAAGATGAAATCACTAGGGAAAATCCCATGGTCTAGAAGTTAAAAGAAGTGGACACCACATGACCGACAACACAAATTGAATCCTGACCCAACCAACTTGAAAACCATGCTGGGCATGTGTGTTTGTACATGTCCCAAATCTGATAAAATGGAGAAATGAAGAATGGATTAAAGAGTGACTATGCCTCACGGGGAAGAGTTACCCTTTTACTCTTTCACTTAATGCCTCTTTCTGGTGAGCACCCAAGACCTCTATATAAAATTAAATTTAAAATTTATATATATATATATGTGTGTGTGTGTGTGTGTGTGTGTGTGTGCAAATAATCAATATAAATACTTTATCTATAAATAGTTGATAGCTATATTATTCTTGAAGTACAAAGCAAAAATGTGCTTCATAAACAAATGACAAAGTATTTACTTTTTTCTCCCTATTTGAATCTTCCAAATTTAGAAAGTATCAATGGATATCTTTACATTTATGACTGTGTAATCATTTCCATAAGTTCAATGAGAGTGTGCTCTCTTTATAACAGGGTATAATTGTTGTTACTGCTTTGAACTGGAGTCTCCTATTTAAATTATTAATGTGGTTTACAGACAAAATCCAATGTCTACCTTGGTTGACATATTAACATTGAGAAGTGAATTTAAAGTACAATCAAAAAGTACTGTGCAGCAAGTCACTATACTTTCAACGCTATGTATATGATGAAGCCAAATTTGAATAAGCTATACTTATTTTATAAACAAATTGATAGAATTCTGAATGTCTATACAAAAAAATTTGTCTAAGGAAAATCAACAATACCTGTTATAAGATGTAACTCCATTCATTGTTATTGATATTTTATTCTTATCTAGCTGCAGACTAGACTAGATCCTAAATTCTTATAGGACCTTCTAATCCAATTTTCTCCAATTTTTCCCCCATGGAATAACTAAGCATGAAAACTGTTCTGTTTTAAAGCCTTATAAACTGAAGCTGGGCAACTTGATGTAAACTTCAAAGAAGGAGCACATTCCTGAGATTGGGGGGCTAAATTGAGAATTCTTCAAGCTGCCCAATGCCACAACCAGAGATGATGAAACTGCTACCCAGAATGTAAACACGATACCTTCATACTGTAGACTGCTTTAACCAAGATGGAATAACAAGGCTCCTAAATTAAACAACCTGAGAGCCACTCCATTCATACCTCCCTTGCTGCTCAAATGTGGCTAAAAGTTATTTGCTGCTGACTCCTAGTCATCTAATCACTTCTGTCCAGTGTGAGACCAAACCAGGACAAATTGATTCAAAGACAATAGGACAATCAAAACCTAATCAACAAGATTGTGACTCAGCAACATTTTGGAAAAAAGTCTTGATCAAAGAAGGAATATGTAAAAGTCATGTGGTTCAAAAGGAGTTGTTTGTGTCAGTTATAGTAAGCTCTGACTAAGTGGAGCTGGTTAAGATCATAAAGCAGGCAGTTTTGCATGTATGCCAGATGACAAGAACTATCACAAGAACGGTGCCAGAAACACAACCTTGCTCAGTGGCCACTGAAAATCTTCCACATAAACTATTTTTCCAAGGACATCATCCTGTCCAGCCTTAGAGTGATGGCACCATTATTATTGGTTCTGATAGTCAAGAATACTTGTGTCTAAACAACTTATTTAATACTTTCTCATACTTCTTTTTTAAACCCAGATCTTTTCTTACCTCCCTGAACGTGACTTTATTTTATTGTGGCAGGTGTAATCCCCACAGCAACACCTACTACTGAATAAATACCACTTTTCTTTTAGAGACTCTCTCTTTACAGGTTGACAATATCTACAAAGAGATAAATAGTATATAAATTCATAATCCACTTTTGTTTATAGAGCATCAAAGTATAGTAAGGACTTTAACAATATATGATTAAAAGTACCAGCTGAGAATATGTATAAGTAAGATCACACAGTATAAAGTCAAGATATGAAAGGTCAATGTGGTGCTGAAACTCCTTTTCAGTTCTCAGGTGACATAACTGTATTTATCCAACTGACAAATGAGGAGTACATTCAAATTAGAGGTGCAAATTCCTTTTGAGTTCTTTTTCCATCTTCCTACCCTCAGGATTTCTTTTTGTAGATGCTTAGTTTTGTTTGGGTGGTGACCATCTCATGGGGTCAAGGGAGAAGAGATATGCCTTTCCCCATGAGATAGTACAAGAATTAAATCCAATTAGTAGAATTCTAAGATATTGCCCCGAAAGTGGGTTTGGTATGGCTTCTGGTATAGTACTGATCAAATTCCAGAGAGAAGAATGAAGAAGGGATTGGTGCATGGCCATCTCCCCTGGGGGCTGCTTTCTTATTCTCTCACTCTGTCTCACTCTCTGTCTCTCGCAACTGCATGTGCCTTACAGCAAATGTTTAAAAATTTGCTAAAAAAAAAAAAAAAGAAGCATACCTGAATGAATATGTTTAGTACCTTGACAGTGGTGATGGCAGCATGGGCGTAACATGTTCAAACTCATCAGACTATACATTACATAAGTGAAACATTTTGTATATTAATAACATCCCAATAAAGCAAAGAAAAGCACAATGTGGGGGTTTTTAAGTCTTCTTTTAGATTTCTCTTGTTAAGAGTGTGCATTTCTTCTGTCATCATCTTTGACAAAATAATAAAATCACCAATTATAAATACCTTTTTTTAGTTTTTTTTTTTTTTTTCCTAGGGGTCCATGTACTCAGGGACAGAGAGACAGAGCAGTGAAAGAGAAAGCAAGAAACCACCTCCCCAGGGGGGATAGCCATGCAGTAATGCCTTCTATTCTATTCTCCTCCTGAGATTTTGGCTATGCACACTCATGTGCCTGGTGTAGGATTCAAGCCATCAGGTCCGGGATTTAAACCACTATTCACCATGTGAGAGTCCAACAATGTAACCACTATGCCATCTGCTAAACACCTAAAATTTTTTAGTATACTGTGATAACTTTTGAGTATCCAGGGCCCATGACAATCTATTATCTCTTATTTTTTAACAACAGTTGTCAAGTCTTCAATTACTTGGAGTAGATTCAACCAAAATAATCTTTAATTATATAATTTTATCATGGGAAGCTATCCCAGCAAAGTCACCTATTTATCTAACAGTCACCTTCAAATAAGTTCAAAGTATGTATTGTATATTATTATTGTTGGTAAATGTAGAAATTATATGATTAACTTTTATGACTATTTTTATGTACACATATTCACTTTTGTCTAGATATTGATATTATTTGATGTTTTTATCCATTATAATGAACTTTTTCAACCCTTGTGCAATAAGCACAGGAATTCCTAAAAAGTATAAATAGGGCTACAAATAGAGATACACCATGTTTAAAATTCAGACATATGTATTTATAACTCCTCATACTTCTTTTTGAAGCACTGATCTCTTACCTCCCTGAATGTGACTATATTATACTATGGCAGGTGTATTCCACACTGCAACACCCACTACTGAATACATATCAATTTTCTTTTAGAGACTCTTTGTTTACAGGTTGACAATATCTACAGAGAGATCAATAGTATATAAATTCATAATCCACTTGTGTTTGCAGAGTATCAAAGCATAGTAAGGAGAATTCTAATATATGGTTAAAAGCATCAGTATATATGGATGAATATATGTGGAATATAATACACATTAAATTTGTTCATTTTAGTCACTTGACTGCTACTTGAGTAAATATTCCAAAATTGAATGCAAAACTATTGTTTTCATAAGGTATTAACTGAGAATATGTAAAAGTAAGATCACACAGTATAAAGTCAAGATATAAAAGGTTAATTTGGTGCTGAGATAAAGAAGTCACATAATGTCCTTTTCAGTTCTCAGGTCACATAACTGTATATGTCCAATAGTAAAATGGTGTCCTACCTCTTTGAATGCAGCAGGCCATTTTATCATCATTTCATCGATGACCAAGCCTTCAGTATGTGGACTACTAGAGAACTCTCCTACTTTAACCATGGTCCCACTGAAACCAGATTTCACAATGTTCTTGATATCATAGTGTGCGATCTGCTTTCTTTGTTCATCTAAGGATACATGGTCACCAGCACTGTTTGTAAATTGTATTTTCTTCAGGAATGGGTGAAGCTGGAAGGGCAACAAATTGAAGTGAAGAGTGAATTCAAATTAGAGGTTCAAGTTTCTTAGTAGTTCTTAATTTTCCATCTTCCTACTCAGGATTTCTTTTGTAGATGCTTAGTTTTGTTTGGGTGGTCGCCATCTCATGAGGTCTAGGGAGAAGAATTATGCCTTTCCACATAAGATGCTTCAAGAATTGAATCCAATTAGAAGAATACTAACATGTTGCCAAGAGATTGGGTTTGGTAAGGCTTCTGGTATAGTCCTGGCTGAAACACAGAGAGAAGAATGAAGAAAGGATTGTGGCAAGACCATCTCCCCTGGGGGTTGCTTGCTCTCTCTCTCTCTCTCTCTCTCTCTCTCTCTCACACGTGGTCCTTGCAGCAAAATTTTTAAAACTTGCTAAAAAAAGAAGCATACAAGAATGAATATGCTTAATACCTTGCCTGTTGTGATGGCAGCATAGGTGTGTACAGGCTCAACCTCATCAAACTGTACATATATGAGTGCAACATTTTGTATAGCAATAATGTATCAATAAAGCAAAGTCAGGCACACTGTAGGCTTTTTTTAATGTCTCCTTTTAGACTTCTTTTGTTAAGAATGTGCATGTCTTCTCTCATCATCTATGACAAAATATTAAAATTGCCAATTCTAATTTTTTTCTTTAGGTTTTGCCTTCCAGCACAAGCACTCACTAGAGAGAGAGAGAGCAGTGAAAGAGAAAGTAAGAAACCACCACACGCCCCCAAGAAGGATGGCCATGCTGAAATGCCTTCTCTATTCTCCTCCTGAGATCTTGGCCATGCACACTCATATACCTGGCATAAGTTTCAAGCTACCGGGTCCAGGACTCAAATCATGATTCACCATGTGGGAGTCCAATAATGTAACCTTTATGCCATCTGCTAAATCCCTAAATTTTTTTAAAAAATATATACTGTAATAACATTTGAGTCCCCAGGGCCCATGACACTTACCTCTTACTGTTTAACAACAGTTGTCAAGTCTTCAATAACTTAGAGTAGACTCATTAAAAATAATCTACAATTACATAATTATATCATTGGAAGCTATCCCAGCATTTACCTATTTTCCTGAGAGTCACTTCCAAATAAGTTCAAAGTGAATAGCATATATTATTATTGTTGGTAAAAGTAGAAATTATATGATAAACTAACTTTTCTGACACTATTTTTCGGTCTGTATATATTCACTTTTGTCTATATATTAAAATTGCCTGGTGTTTTTAGTTAATATGATTAATGTATTCATCCTTTGTGAATTAAGCACAGGAGTTCCTGAAGTGTTCTCTGTACAGGTATAAATAGAGACACACCTTGTTTAAAATTCAGACAGCTGCATTTATAACTCAGGTGGGCTAGGCTGAAGCTAACTATATGAATGGCCTCATGTTTTCAAAGAGGAACACAGGACCTGCTTCTTTGATTGCTGCGCATTTTGTAAAAATAGTTACATCTAAAAATGAGTTATTTCAATTTTTGATATTATGTAGAACTCATGTCTGTTTTCATCAAAAGCATTGTGGACAGAAGTCTGACTGCTTTTCCTATTTTTCCAAAATCTTTTCAAAAGGGGACTGGGGAAGTCATGCCCACAAACATTAACAGACCATTTATTTTCTATTAACAGGATTCTTCCTACCTCCTGTCCCTGGCATAGTATCTTTGAGATGTATATTTCAACCGATTACAGTATATTCTTGTGTTTATGTTTTCCCAAGACACAGATCTTCCCTTCCAATCACCACCTAAGAATTGTGGAACCCACCTATAACCTACAAGCCCCCCCCCCCTTCTACATGTCCCGCCTTTTTGGGCCAGACCAATGGAAAATCTTTTCACTAAATGTTGTCTGTCAATCTCAAAAACAAATAAAAGGAACCTCTGTACATGATCACCCCGAGAAAAGGTGTGTATGCCTCTTCTCTGGGCCTCGGTCACTCACATTTGGCTTGGAAATAAATCACATTAATTATTAATTATTAATTTTACAGTTGGTTATTTTTTCTGTCGACAGCATTAAGTGGAGTTCTTGGATCAAAGCATATACACCCCTATAGATAAAACAACTGATCTCAGACACAATCATTAAGTTAATAGTTTCTGTCATTAGATGCCTTCCAAGGAAAATCTTAGATTTCCCTTATTTGTGGTCTGAGTTTTTTGTTACACGTCACTTTTTGACATTTTACAGTGCCTTATGCTTTATTAGGATCTGTTTCTTAAACTTTACTTTTCTATAGGACATGTGTGTGTGGGAGAGAGGAGAGAGAGGGAAAAAATCAGCCCTTAGAGGAGATGGTCATGCTGCAATCCCTTCTCTTCTCAGGATTTTAGGCATGAACAAACATATATCTTGTGTGGTTTTCAAGACACAGAAACAGGGACTAAATTGAGCAGTTGGCCATGAGGAATCCAGCCACTTAACCTCAGCATCACGTTCTGATCCTCTAATACATTTTCTAATTGAACAGTTTAAAATTAAAACTTTCAATGGCAGAATTCTCCAAATAAATGTAAGATTTACTGCTACGCATACAACCAGTGTTAAGGAACCATCTTTTTCTACATTTTTGTCAGCTCGTTACTCCTGAGAAAAAACATGGTCATGTTATTATATATCAATTAAATGCTTAAAGTACTCAATGCATGACTTGCTTCTTGTGGAGATTTACCTGCCAGGGTAGAAGCATAGGCTGGTCTGTATCTCCTGTAGATCCTGTTTCTATTTTTTCCACAAGCATTTTATGGAGAACATGGGCCACTGCATACACAGCATTATAGATAAAGTAGCTAGATTCATATGTGGATGTAATGCTAAAATGTGCTTCTATAAACTCTAAGGAGACATTTGGAGGGCAGTCTATAGATTTTTCACATTGTGTCCACTCAACTGGACAGTTATAAAGATTAATCCAGAATTTACTAAAGTAAAAGTCTTCTGTGTATTGGTAAGGGTTAAGTGAGTTGATAAATTGTGCAAAGCCAGGAATAATCCTTTTCTGGTGTAAAAATGAGAAGCCTCCAAGGAAAGCATTCATTAATGAAAAAAACTTATCAACAATAAATTCCAACTCTGCTAAAGGAGGATTTCCTATGATCCACACCTTCCCTGAGGTTAATTAGAATTCTTCTCCTATGACCAGGGTTAAGAGACTTCCTACATCAACATAGAGAATATGCACATTTACAGAGGAATCTCTGATCCGATTCAGAATAGTGAAAGTTAATCCATACAGCTTCATAATGGAAAGGGGCTTTTCTGTAAAGGCCACACAGATATCTTTCTTTACCATTTCTGCTTTAAGTTCCCGTAAGAACTGTTCACCTTTCATATCATCAGATACAAAGAGGGCCACCCAAGCCCAGCCAAAATGCAGCAATAATGTGATGATTCCATAGACCAGAGAGCTGTCCATGGTGGCCATCTGATAGAGTGACGTAAACTGGTCTTTATCACTTAGGATGGGATCAAAAGGACCATATGTGACCTGAATAAGAAAAAAAAAAAAAATTCCTGATTTCAAGTGAATGGAACGTGGGATTATATATCTTGGGGAGATGATAGAGAATGTCCTACCTGAGAGAACCAGAAAATTGGGTCAAGAGAAAAATTACAGCAAATAATACCCAATTCTCTCATTCTGGGAACACAAACAACTGTTTTGCAGCCCACTGCTTTTAGGAAAGAACATTAGACTATTTGTAATCACTGGTATGACTCCCAGACCAATGAATAAAACATAATGTGTAAGAACCCATGTGCTCTTCATCACCTGGAGTTGAATGTGAAGAAAGCATACATTTCATGGCGATGCATCACCAATGTGGTGATTCACTCACTTCACCTCATTTGAGTTAGGGAGCATTGGCTCTCTCCCTCAGCAACAAATGTTGGATGTCGGTTCTGAGTTAGAAGTAAATCCTTACTGTATGGATCTCATGATGCTTTGGTCTTAATTTTTATTGTCACAGTATAACCTAATCATCCTGAAAAATTAAATTGCTTACCATTTCTGATTTTAAAAAAATAATTCTTCCATGCAGACTGTTCCTAAGTTAATGTTGTTTGACAGAAATAGATTCTGAATGCTGTTTGTGTTGGATAGACCACCTGTAACGTTTCTTTTAAATGGAAAGTTATATGTGAGAACTGTACTAGAAGTGCTCTCAAGAGATTTGCCTACACTAATGTAAGGCAGATTTAAGCAGAGGGAATGGGTAAACTACAATTGTTACTAAATCTTGGCCAACCTCAAAGACCTCTACAGGTGGGTGGTCCTTCAGTGTTGTCTTAAATTAATACCATATATGCTGGTGCTTCTATCCTCACATTTAACAGTCATTTTCCTCTGGGTATATCCTAGAAAGTCCTATTCTGAAATAAGGCAGTTCCACATAATTTGGATATTCCCTGGAAGGCACACAACTGCCAGTTGCCATCAGTCAATATTCCCAGCAGCAGAGAAATGAATGCATTGGCCATGGACAGAAATATGGATTGAGATTCAGAACATCCACCACTCTTTATCTTTCCTACTCTTGCCATGTTGAATAATCTCATGTCCCAGGTTACTCCCTGTAATCTATTCATAACTCTCACAGTATATGTAAACCCTGCTTTCATATTTTCTTCAAATCAAAATGAGAAAATTGCTTTAGGGTAGACTGAAATCTCTCTCCCTCTGATTCACAGCCCACTTACTTGTGGGATTTTGTAGAGCACCAACAGGGTTTCAATCTGAGCTGAAAATGTCGATGTGGTTCCTGCAACAATGGCAATAGATTTCTTCTGGTTCTGGCAGTTGTAGTTAGGGAAAAACTGATTCCCTCCACACAGCCACAGTAGAGCATTCTCTACAGTCCGGTGCTCACTGGGAAGGGCATTGTAGATGTCAGAACCCAGGGAATTGTTGGGTAGCAGATTGGGGTTCTTGTTGATTTCCTCAATGGCAAAGAGAAATGCCAGTACATATTGGTAATTCTTCCAAAACCACCTAGGCACAGAGGAAAGCATTAGAGAGAATGGTCAATTCATGTAATTAAAGGACAGATTTTCAGGTGAGCCAAGAGATAGGAGATTCAAGTTGCCGTTGAGAGATTTTCCAGGTCTGGACTTATAGAGGTGATAATCTATTTTATGATTCAGTTTCTTTTTTGTTAACTCTTAAGTTTTATATATATATATATATAAATATATGTATTTCAAATCATATATATCATATTATATATATATCATATATTCATATATATCATATTAATATATCTATATATGTGATATATATAAACATTTCAAAAATGGTAGTATTTTATTTTGAATTACGATTTCTTTTCCCTTTTTGGCTTAATTTTTTAATTGATAAAAATTTACTGTTAGATCAATATTTACTGGTGCTTCTGAACCTACCTGTAGTCCTGTTTGTATATTTCTTTTTAAAATCCAGCTCAATTATTTTAACCAGAATTCTCCTCACATATATTTTTAGAGATATTTTTGCTATAGGTTGTGTGCACTTGCTGCAGTAAGCGAGAAACGACTTCATGGTGTGTATGGCCATACAGCAATACCTTGTCATTCCTTCTCTTCCTGAGATTTTTCCCACACATGTACCCAGCGTGTTTCAAGTCACTGGGTCCAAGACACAATGTGTAGTCACCATTGGAGAGTCTGGCGACATAACCATTATGCCATCTGCTGGTCTCTCCCCCTTACTTGTGATGTGATTTCTTTGTGTGCTTTTTTCTATTGACCTCACCCTTTTCTTGGTTATGAATTTTCACTTTTCCAAGCTGTAGTCAGAGTTGAGCACAAAGGTCCCATACCTACCATAATAGTCCTAACAAAGCATTTCTCAGTGCTCTAACAGGTGTTGCTGAATAATTTTAAACAATGTATTTCTATTCTGGGCTTTACAATTTTATTATTTTGCCTAAACAGTCAGTAGTCAATAGAATTATGCTACATTTTTAACATTTTAAATAATGATGTTTTTAGTTAATTTAAAGGACTTATTTTGTATCTACTAAGGTATTCAGCACTATAATTATGAGTTTTACCAATACTTAGTAGAATTTGTTTGCACTATTATAAACTGGGAGAGTCTAATTAAATTTTTCAATACTTATAAATATTTTGCCTTATTTCTTCTTAATTTTTCTTATTAAAAAGATTTATATTTACCACTAAGTTATTACACTTTTTATCAGTTTGAAGCTCATTAGTTTGATTTTTATTTAGTCAAATTATAATTTGCCAGATATTAAGCTCTCAACTCTGCACAGAGTTGATAAATAACCTAAAAAGATAATAAATATCAAAGTTAGGTTTGTAAGTTTCTTACTTGCACTCTACTCAAAGCCTCAGATATAGATTACAAGCTGTCTTTACTAAAATTTAGGTACCATTATAATTTTCTTCCTTTACATGATACATGTGCTACCAGAGAAAAACAGAGAGGTAGAATTAGAAAAAATGAGAAATTACCCTTCAGTGAAGATGGCCACACTATAATCACTTCTCCATTTTTCTCTTGAGATTTTGCATATGCATGCACACACACCTGGTGTGTTTTGAAGCTGCTCAGTCCAGGATTCGAATCATGTTATCAGCTATGTGGGATCTAGCACCTTATTTTTTTATTATTATTATTTTTATTTAAATGTATTTATTTACATTCATTCACTGTACATCATTACAACATACAAAATGAGATTTTTCCATCCAGAGTACACTGTATATTGTCTCAATCAAGCACATCAACAAACATGTTATTGTCAGCAAATAATTTTCCATTTCTTGTTTTCTGTATGTTTTGCTTTTTTTCCCCCATCCTTGATTCCCCATCTCTTACCCTCTGCCATCTCCCACTCTCCTCCCACACTGTCTCTAGTATCTATGTTTGCTTTCTATACTGTTTTTATCCCAAAATTGTATTGAGTTACTAAAGATCTTAATTAATCTAAATATTTTAATAGCAAACATAGCTGATAATATACATTTTTATGAACACAAGTCCAAATTTAGGCATAAGCCTCAATGAGTAGAATGAACATACAATAAAGTAGCACCTAGCTGGGGCTATATATCATACTGCAGTCATCGAATAGGTATTTTTTTTTCTGAAGCTTTTTTTTTCAACTTAATTTACATTCTTTC